GGCAAAGCCGCGGCCTTCTGGCTCACGGCGCGGTCGGAAGAGTTCTGCATGCGGTCGGCGAAGCCTGCGGCTTTTCGTCGTCGTTGGGCGCCGTCATCGAGGGAGAGTTGTCGGGGATCGTCGGTTGGGGGGCGTCGTCGTATGAGGTCATCGTCGTCATCGTGGCCGTGGTCGTCGTCATACCCGTCGTCGTTTGCTGGGGATGGGGCGGTATGAAGTATGAGGAGGAAGAGGTAGGGGGTGGAGATATGTACGCAAGAAGTCGCAGGAGGAGGAGGAGGAGAAAGAGGAGGGGGCGAGACCCAAAGACGACCGTGAGGCACCCCGAGAGACTTCAGGGAAGTCCTCAGCGGCAAGGCAGCAAGCATGCAGCGTGACGGCCACGCTACGTGACAGTGTCGTAGGGCTGCTTGCTTCCCGGGCGGCCCCAGCGTGTGGTGCTGCCACGCCTGTTCGAGGGAGCTCGGCAGAGCCGTCCTGCAAGCACGCGGGAGGGCTTGCAGCAAGCAGCTGCCCAGCTTCAAGAATGGAGGAGGAGGAGGAGTCCCCATGTTGCCGAGGATTGTCCCCCAAAACGAGCCAGCACTCTCCTCCACACGTAGTGAATGCCCGCCTCCCTCGAGCCCTGGGTCCGCCGGCGGCGGCTAGCGACGAGGGGCGGGCCGCTCTGGAGCTGGCCCGTGCCCACCCGGTGAAGCGCTGCGGCGATGCCCGAACAGTACGGCGGGACCTCGAACAGAATGCGGTCAGCCAGTATAGTAAGGATGCGCGATAAGGATGCAAGGGCCTTGGACGCCCATTTCGAAGCTTTTCGAGCGGGGCGCGGCCAGCGAAAGCGGCGAAGGATGGACAGAGGAGGCAAGGATGCAGGGGTACCCTTGGGAAGGTTGCCCATCCTGACTATGCGGGTTGACTGTAACATCTTTCAATCGGGCATTGGCAGAACTGGGGTTCAGTGGGACCTGGTTTAATGATGTGTGCTGGGGGGCGCCCCCCCCGCCCGTTCCATGAACCGGAACTGCCGTCAACCGAAAAAGCACCAGCTACGGCAGACCTGGTTTAGTGATTCTGGCCAAGTTAGGGGGCCCCAGGGCCCTAGTACTAACCGGGTCGCCTTACCTGGGGTCCTGGCCATACCCGATTCAAGAACATGAGACACTCCGCCGGCCAAGCCGCAGAACATTCGATGGTACCCTGCCCCAGGGTGCACAGGAACATCCAACGAGGGTGGCCTCCCCGAACCGACCTCGATCTTATACCTCGGTCCGACCGGACCTCGCCGACACAATGTGTGGTCTGTGCCTACCTCGGCGGCATCTGACGCCTACCCCCCACGAGGTCAAAATTGGATGTGTGTATTATCATGTATGTGCACCTCTGTGTGTATCTTGATGTCGGGCGTGCCCCCCTACAGGGGGATTTTCGACGAAAAAACAAATGCCCCAAAAGTACTCCAAAAAGGTCAAACAATACTCAAAAAATAATCCCCAGACTATTTTTGGAGTATTTGTCGAATACTTTATACTTTTCGTTTTTTCCCAAACATCCTGTGGTGTTGGGTCCTCGTTTTGAAGAGACGTCGCCCCGCGTTCCTCCTTCCTCCTCCTCCCCTTCCTCCCCCCTCCTCCTCCTCCCACACCCATTCTGGCACACCCCTCACACGTTTCGTGGCCCCATAGGGAGCTCCACCGAAGGCCCCAGTGGCTGCGCCCGCATGCGGTTCCACCCCCCATTCTGGCACACCCCTCACACGTTTCGTGGCCCCATAGGGAGCTCCACCGAAGGCCCCAGTGGCTGCGCCCGCATGCGGTTCCACCCCCCATTCTGGCACACCGCTCACACGTTTCGTGGCCCCATAGGGAGCTCCACCGAAGGCCCCAGTGGCTGCGCCCGCATGCGGTTCCACCCCCCATTCTGGCACACCCCTCACACGTTTCGTGGCCCCATAGGGAGCTCCACCGAAGGCCCCAGTGGCTGCGCCCGCATGCGGTTCCACCCCCCATTCTGGCACACCCCTCACACGTTTCGTGGCCCCATAGGGAGCTCCACCGAAGGCCCCAGTGGCTGCGCCCGCATGCGGTTCCACCCCCCATTCTGGCACACCCCTCACACGTTTCGTGGCCCCATAGGGAGCTCCACCGAAGGCCCCAGTGGCTGCGCCCGCATGCGGTTCCCCCCCATTCTGGCACACCCCTCACACGTTTCGTGGCCCCATAGGGAGCTCCACCGAAGGCCCCAGTGGCTGCGCCCGCATGCGGTTCCACCCCCCATTCTGGCACACCCCTCACACGTTTCGTGGCCCCATAGGGAGCTCCACCGAAGGCCCCAGTGGCTGCGCCCGCATGCGGTTCCACCCCCCATTCTGGCACACCCCTCACACGTTTCGTGGCCCCATAGGGAGCTCCACCGAAGGCCCCAGTGGCTGCGCCCGCATGCGGTTCCACCCCCCATTCTGGCACACCCCTCACACGTTTCGTGGCCCCATAGGGAGCTCCACCGAAGGCCCCAGTGGCTGCGCTCGCATGCGGTTCCACCCCCCATTTCGGCACACCCCTCACACGCTTCGTGGGTGGCTCCATGGGGAGCTCCACCGAACGCCCCAGTGGCTGCGCTCGCATGTGGTTCCCCCCCCCATTTCGGCACACCCCTCACACGGTTCGTGGCCCCATAGAGAGCTCCACCGAAGGCCCCAGTGGCTGCGCTCGCATGCGGTTCCACCCCCTTTTTCGGCACGCCCTTCACACGTCTCGTGGCCCCATAGGGAGCTCCACCGAACGCCGCAGTGGCTGCGCTCGCATGCGGTTCCACCCCCCATTTCGGCACACCCCTCACACGTTTCGTGGCTCCATAGGGAGCTCCACCGAAGGCCCCAGTGGCTGCGCTGGCATGCGGTTCCACACCCCATTCTGGCACACCCCTCGCACGTTTCGTGGCCCCATAGGGGGCTCCACCAAAGGTCCCAGTGGCACTGCCCGCTTGCGTCCGCCACCACCCAGCACAGCCCTTGTTCCCTGCGCTTCACCCACCCAGAACAGCGCTTCGTAGCCCTATAGGGAGCTCCACCAAAGGTCCCAGCGGCACCGCCCGCATGCGTCCGCCACCACCCTGCGCAGCCCTTGCTCCCTGCCTGCGTTTCACCCACCCAGTACAGCGTTTCGTGGCCCCATAGGGAGCTCCACCGAAGGTCCCAGTGGCACCGCTCGCATGCGTCCGCCACCACGCAGCACAGCCCTTGCTGACCGCGTCTCACCCACCCAGTACAGCGTTTCGTGGCCCCATAGGGAGCTCCACCGAAGGTCCCAGTGGCACCGCCCGCATGCGTCCGCCACCACCCAGCACAATTGCGGCATTCACAACTGCATATGGTTGGGTCCTTCGCCAGGCTAATTTTTTTTTGTGTTCGTCGAAGGTCTCCCTGTAGGGGGACAGGCCCGACCTAAGCGTATCTGGTGCCCGCCGCCGTGCCGGCACGGGAGGGGGCGGGGGGGCGTGCTGGACTGCCTCCCTGCTGCCTGGGGGGGGGGGTTCTGCACCCAGGAGGAGGAGGAGGAGGAGGAGGAGGAGGAGGAGGAGGAGGAGGAGGAGGAGGAGGAGGAGGAGGAGGAGGAGGAGGAGGAGGAGGAGCTCTTTAGTGTATTCAGGGAGATCCACGGGCGCACTTTCCTGAGAAATCCCCAAGATGCTGCGGCTGCTTCCCGAGGCAGGCCCCCGGGCCGCACGCGCGGCTCGGCTCGAAAAGCTGCTCTTCTGGATTCTCTCCTGCTCTCCAACGCCCCTCTCGGCCTGCGGGCGGCCAAAATGGCACCCGGAATGTGGCACCCGAGATGACGGAAACGCGGGGTGCGAGCGATGGACGTTCCGGTGCGGCGACGCCTCACAAGGAGGGGTCCAGGGGAGGGGCGAGGGGGGCAGACATAGGCATAACATGCATGTCGTTCAGTGTTTTTTATTGTTGTATTTTTGGGGGGGGTCCGCCCTGTCGGACGACGGACGAACGGCACAACACGGCCCAAGAGGCTCCAAAGATCGCCCCAAGATGACCCGAGAGGCCCCCCGAAAGGCCCGAAACTGGTCCCAGAGGCCCCCAAGACGGCTCAAGAGGGCCCGGAGAGGGCCCAACAAGGCCCTGGCAGGATTCTGAGGGGGCAAACAACATTGATTTGCATTTGTTCTTTTGGGGGGGGTGTTTGGGGGGGTGATTCTCGCCTTTTCGGGCTTCGGACGGCCGGGCGGCCTAAGAGGCCCCCAATATCGTCCCAAGATGTCACCAGAGGCCCCCGAGAGGGCCCAAAGGCGGCCCAAGCGGGCTCCCGGACGGCCCCAGAACGCTCCCAGACGGCCCGCGATGGCCCCTGGAGGTTCCCAAGAAAGCCCCCAGCGGACAGGGTCCCAGCAGGGCCCGGAGGAAGGCAAAGCGCACTGATTTACCTTCGGTTTTCGTATTTCCCGATATCCTAAGATTGGGGTTCTTGTTATTATTCGGACGCCGCAGACTCCAGAGAGAACGCACCTACTCATACACAGACTTACTCATACTCAGACCTACTCATACTCATACCTTCTCATGGTCTGACTTACTCAACACACAACATGCAGGCCTACTCATACTCAGATTTACTCATGCTGGGACTCCTTCATACCCAGACTTACCCATACCCAGACTCGTTCCCAGACCTGCTCATACACAGACTTACATGCTGGGCCACCTTCATACCTAGACTTACTCATACCCAGACTCGTTCCCAGACCTGCTCATACACAGACTTACTCATACTCAGACCTATACATATTCAGACCTTCTCATAGTCTGAGTTGCTCAACGCACGGACTGAGACCTACTCATACTCAGACCTTGTCATACTCAGACTCGCAAGGGGAGCCGCCAAGGGTGTTTTCACGGGCCCGTTCGCGGCCAGTTTGTGGGGATGTCTCAAGCGGTTTGCTCGTTTTCATGCCCAACATCCTTGGCTTTCATAACAGATTCTGATGATGTCTCAGGCGGGGCGCTGGTTTCAGCACCCCTACGGGGAGCCGCCAGGGGTGTTTTCACGGGCCCGTTCGCGGCCAGTTTGTGGGGATGTCTCAGGCGGTTTGCTCGTTTTCATGCCCAACATCCTTGGCTTTCAGAACAGATTTTGAGGATGTCTCAGGCGGGGCGCTGGTTTCAGCATCCCCAAGGGGAACCGCCGAGGGTGTTTTCACGGGCCCGTTCGCGGCCAATGTGTGGGGATGTCTCAAGCGGTTTATTCGTTTTCATGCCCAACATCCTTGGCTTTCAAAACAGATTCTGATGATGTCTCAAGCGGGGCGCTGGTTTCAGCACCCCTACGGGGAGCCGCCAGGGGTGTTTTCACGGGCCCGTTCGCGGCCAGTTTGTGGGGATGTCTCAAACGGTTTGCTCGTCTTCATGCCCAACATCCTTGGATCTCAGAGCAGATTCTGAGGATGCCTCAGGCGGGGCGCTGGTTTCAGCACCCCTAAGGGGAGCCGCCGAGGGTGTTTTCACGGGCCCGTTCGCGGCCAGTTTGTGGGGATGTCTCAGGCGGTTTGCTCGTTTTCTGCCCAACATCCTTGGCTTTCAGAGCAGATTTTGAGGATGTCTCAGGCGGGGCGCTGGTTTCAGCATCCCTAAGTAGAGCCGCCAGGGGGTAGGACACGGGCCCGTCCGCGGCCATTTTGCGGGGATGTCTCCAGCGGTTTGCTCGTTTTCATGCTGCGAGGAAGGAGTGAGGCAGGCTGAGGAGGGCACGGCCTGGCAGCTGAGGAGGGGGAATGAATGGGAGGCTCATATTCAATCATACTCAAAGCTCACTCTGACTCATATTCACTCACTCGCATTAGGATTCACTCGTCTTCGTCGGCCCTGTCGCCCATGTGGACGCGCTATTATAGTCAAACGCTCATGAACAGACGCTCGCTATGGCATGACATAAAACATGCGATGCACATATGGGGAGCTCCACGCAGTGAGTAATTTTGTTTATATTCTCGCCTTTTCGGGCCTCCTAGGGCCCAGGACGACCCACGAGGCCCCCAAGATCGTCCCGAGAGGTCCCGAGGGCCCCAAGGCGCCCCAAGGGGACCCCAGGGCGGCCCTGGAGGGCCCCAAGACGGCCAAAGAGGGCCCAGCGCAAGAGGCGCCCAAGACGGCACCAAAGGGCCCCAAGACGGCGGGCCCAGGCCCAAGAGAGGGAACAGGAACCGAACATCCAAGCCTTGCGCCTCAAGAGGCCCCCAGGAGGCCCCAAGAGGCGCCCAGGAGGCCTCAAGAGGCCCCAAAGAGGCGCCTTAGAGGCCCCAAGAGGCCCCCAAAGGTCTAAAAGAGGCCACAAGACGCCCCATGACGCCCCGAATCGGCCCCCAAGAGGTCTCCAAACTGCCTATCAGAAGCCCCCGAGAGGCCTCCCACGAGATCCCAACCAACATCCGGTAGGCTTCATGCCCACAACCCAGGCACGGTGGCGGGATGGGCCGAAGGCCATTCCATGCATGTACGTATGTATGCATGTACAGGTATGTATGTATGAACATACGTACGTACGTACGTACGTACGTATGCATGCATATAAGCACGCATGCATGCATGCATGTATGTACATGTATATGCATATACATTTTCTATATGGGTGTATCTGTAGCTTTGTATGTGTTTAGGTATGTATGTACGTATATATGCTTGTATGTGTGTGCGCATGAAGTATATATGTTATGTATGTGTGTATGCATGTATGCGTGATTGTATATATGTGTGTACGTATGCATGTATGCATGCATGCATGTCTATATGTATGTGTGAGTAGGTATGCATGCATGTTTGCATGGATGTGCACGTATGCATGTACACAAACATATATATATATATATACATGCACGCATACATGTCTACGTGCATGAGTGCATGCATGTAGTTGAGTATGTGCATGCATGCATTTATGTATGTGTGCATGTATGCATGCATGTATGTGTGTACGCATGCGCGCGTATGTATGTATGTTTGCAAAGACACATACATACATTCACACATACCTCCATACATACATACACACATACACCCGCGTATGTGTATATATACACATGCATCCATACAAACAGAACTGCATGTACGCATGCATATCTATAACTAGACATGCACTTCTATACATACATACGTACATGCACACGCACATACACAATTTACACATACATATGCATATGTGCAACTATGTGCATGTATACGCTATAAGTTCTGGATGCTGCCATCGTTTGTACTCGCAAGCGATGGGTTTCAGCAAACAATTCGAATTTCGGCATCCCTTCCCTCTCCTCTGGATGTCCGCCTCCCCACTTCCCCCTCTTTCTTCTTTCTGGCCTTTTTCTAAATCTTATTTCCGGGCGCCCGCGGGCGGTGGTCCCCCCTCCTCCCCCCTCCTCCTCCTCCTCCTCCTCTTCCTCCTCCTCCTATCTTTCTCCTCCTCCTGGCCTGCTCCTCCTCCTCCTCCTCCTCCTCCTCCTCCTCCTCCTCCTCCTCCTCCTCCTCTTCCGAGAACCTTCTGGCAACGTTTCCGCGCCCCTTCCGCGGGGGAGCCCCCTCGCCGCGGCCTCTCCGGCGACGGGCGCGAAGGCCGCAGAGCGGGCGGCCCGAGCCCCCCCCCCGCCCCCCAGCCCTGCGCCCTTCGGGCCCGCCCCGGGCGCCCCCCTGGGCGACTGGGGCCGCGCGGGGCCCTGCCGGGCCTGCCCCCGCGCCCCGAGCAGCTCGAGGCGGAAGCGCTCCGCGGCGCCCGGCCTAGCTGGGGCCCGCGCCGAGTCCCGGGGGGGCCGCGGGCAAAACGGAGTCGGGACGAGGAGCTGGCCCCAAGGGAAGATTGAGCAGGGACCGACCGCCCCAGCATTTCTATAGGCCTACCACGAAATATTCTCAGAGGCCCAAAATGTTCTAAGAACAAAAGCAATGATCTTAGAGCACAAGCCCGATGGGTTAAAACAAGACAGGCTCAGCCAGACATATTCAAAGAACACTTCGTGCAAACCGAAACAAAATCTCAGAACATTCTTTGGTATGCCTATAGGCGAGCCAGAACGCTTCGCCACTGCTTGAGAAGAAGGTCCAGACCTCCGGGGGAGCCCGCATGGAGAAAGTCAAAAGGTAGCATCGGGGGCCTGGGCGGGGGCCAGGTCCCGAGGGAAACTGCACGGCGACCAGACAACAAACATACGACGCCGTTCCTGCTGCTGGAGGGCCGCATCGCGTCGGCAAGGGGCGGCATGGGGTCGGCGCCGCGTCGGCGATGTCGCGCACCTGCCCTGTCAGCAAACGGCACGCGCTCTGTTTATACGAACGCCGCCCTCCGCTTCAGGCTTCGGCGGGAAATGCGTCGGCGACCGTCTCCTCGGCCGCGGCGCTGCTGAGCGGGCGGCCCCCCGGCAGGATCGCCTCGACGCGCCAGGCTCCGGGGCCCAGCCTGCCCTCGCGGTGCTCGGCCACGAGCTGGAGGTGGATGTCTGCGAGGCGGGCGGTGGGCGCCGCCCTGATCCTGCATCGCTCCACCCCGCCGATGGTGACGAAAACCATTGAGCCGCCATCGAGCGACACCTGCAGGAGCAGCGCTGGAAGCAAATGAGCTGTGTAGGTCAGGCCCGCGGGCAGCGCCGGGAGGTCGCACTCACCGTGCTGATTCCAGCCGCAGGCCACGGCGGTGCCGTCGCTCCTGAGCAGCACCGTGTGGCGATATCCAGCGGCGACCTGCGTGTAGGTCAGGCCCGCGGGCAGCGCTGGGAGGTCGCACTGACCACGAAAATTGCTGCCGCGGGCCACGGCGGTGCCGTCGCTCCTGAGCAGCACCGTGTGGCAGTCTCCAGCGGCGACCTGCGTGTAGGTCAGGCCCGCAGGCAGCGCCGGGAGGTCGCACTGACCATCACCATTCCGGCCGCAGGCCACGGCGGTGCCGTCGCTCCTGAGCAGCACCGTGTGGCAGTCTCCAGCGGCGACCTGAGGTCAGGCAGGGCGCCGGAGGTCGCACTCACCATGCTGATTCCAGCCGCAGGCCAGGCGGTGCCGTCGCTCCTGAGCAGCACTGTGTGGCATCCAGCGGCGACCTGCGTGTAGGTCAGGCCCGCGGGCAGCGCCGGGAGGTCGCACTGACCATCACAATTCCAGCCGCAGGCCACGGCGGTGCCGTCGCTCCTGAGCAGCACCGTGTGGCAGTCTCCAGCGGCGACCTGCGTGTAGGTCAGGCCCGCGGGCAGCGCCGGGAGGTCGCACTGACCATCACAATTCCAGCCGCAGGCCACGGCGGTGCCGTCGCTCCTGAGCAGCACCGTGTGGCAGTCTCCAGCGGCGACCTGCGTGTAGGTCAGGCCCGCGGGCAGCGCCGGGAGGTCGCACTCACCATCATCATTGCGGCCGCAGGCCACGGCGGTGCCCTCGCTCCTGAGCAGCACCGTTTGGCCCCCTCCAGCGGCCACCATGTGCAGAAAACGACCTCCTCTGAGCCAGCGCGGATCGCTACAGTGGAAACGAGGGCGCTTACGCGCGACCTGACGCGTGCAGCTTACGCGCGAATGCCCGGGCAGACTGCCCCGTCTCTCCCTATCCACGGGGCCTGGGCCCCTCGAGCAGCGGTCCTGGGAGAGTCCCGGGGGCCTGCCCCGAGATCCGACGCTGCAAGATAGATGCAACATCGCAGACAGTCGCGACCAGAGCCCGTTTGCGAACGAGGGGCGGCAGTGAGAAGGAGGTGACCTTCTAAGAAGGCGGCGTGACTTCTCAGGAGCCCTCGCGCCTTCTGAGAAGTTTTCTGTGTCTTGGGGGAAGTCTTAAGAAACCTATACCATAAGGCTGGGGGACTCCCGAACCTTTTGAGAAAGCCTCCTCCTTCTCACTTTCTCCCTCGCTCGCCGCCAGAAAATCGATGCACCATCGCACACCGTCGCGACCAGAGCCCTGGAATTATCTAGCTCCCATCGTACTTAAGAACCATCATCCAGAAATGTGCTGTCGAGCACCCAGGCAAGTATCGAGACAGTGTCTGCCCGACGCGCTGGCGAAATGTCGAACGAGTATCGCCTGCCAAGGCCCGACACGTGAACACCTTCCAGTGTCGGCATTTTCTTGGCGCTCGAAATTCGCTCTGGTGGTCAAGGCTGAAAAATGTTGGAACATCTTCACCCTAGACCCTATCACCCTGCTGCATTTGTCGAGCAGGATGGATCTGTGATGGCCGCGGGGCCCGACACCAAACCACAACGCCAGGTGTGAAAACACTGCAGCGCTCGGATCTCGGGGTGCTGCGACTGTCGCCGATATCCAAGCCAGCGCCTCTAACAATCCTGCCAAGCGCCTCGAACAATCCTGCCAAGCCAGAGACACGGCAGCCCCCCTCGTCCTGGGAGGGGCTCGGTGTACGTCGCTTGGTCGGCAGGGGAGCACGGCTCGTAGACGCCCCAGCTGCCCAAGCTGTGGGACGCTGGAGCGTCCGTATCTTTGGCGATCGCAGCCTCGCGCGCAGCGTCGGGGCGGAGCAGGTCGAGCAGACGGCACAGAGCCAACGCGCCCGGCTGGAGCGTCCATGCGTCCGATGCCTTCGCCGAGTCCACTGGCTCCGTGGCCGACCAAACGACGCGGTGTTACATGTTCCAAAGCTCCTGGCCCGCGGGCCCCGCCCCCCCAGATGGGATGGGTCCCGGAGAACCGCGGCCCCCCTGGCTCCACATCGAGCCGCATCGGCGATGCATCGGCGATGCGACGCGGGCTTTGGGACATATATATATATACACATACATGCATGCATACATACATACGTACATACACACACTTTCACAACCATACACATACATGCATACATACGCGCATACACATATACACACGTACATACATACACACATACAAAAACATACACACACTAGTACATATATACATACATACATACCTACATACGTACATACACACATACACACATGCATGCATGTATGCATGCGTACATATATGCACAAACATAAACCTATACAAACACATACATACATACATACATGCATGCATGCATGCATACATGCATGCGCGAATGCATACATGCATACGTACATACATACATACATACACACAACCATGGTTACACATATACAAATTTTCATATATATACACCTATATATATATATATATACAAGACTGCATTGGCGCTTCGCGCCATGCACCTTGTTCCTTGAAGCTCTGGATCAGCTGGCATTCGTGCTATCCTGGGAGTCCTTTGAGGGGCCCTCGCGGTTATGCATCACAAAGTGGGGCAGGTTGCGGATGGAGGAGGTTGTTACACTGAGACGGCAAAGTGAGATGGTTTTGTCTTCATGCGCGGTTGTCTCTGAGGCTTGGCAAGCGGTTCTTGGGGACTGTCTTGGGCATCTCTTGGGCCTGGGTGGTGCTGTCTTCAGGATTATGGGAGTTTGCTTTCAAGCCTCTGGGGTCGTTTTGGAAGGGGCTGGCGGGCTTCAACGGCCGCTTGCAGCGTCGGACGGTCGAGCAAGAGGGAAAAAACAAATCCTTCAAACGCTATGGGGAAATCGATCAATTGTGACTCTCAGTGCTTTCTTCGGAGGACACCTGAGGTTTTTTGGAGGCCTTTCGGCGCTTGTTGGAAGTCGTCGATGTTTTTGGGCGCTCTTCTTCGGGCCGCGTGGTTTGTGAATAGCCTGTTGGAGCGGAGAGCTCTTACTTTCGCGCCCGGATGCCACGATTCTTGTGAGGGGAGCGGTTCCCAAAGGAAAACCCTTCGAATCCCGGGCTCGCAACCAAATTTGTGTTCAAACGGTTGCGAACCCAGGATTCTGGCCAGAATGTGGCGCGTCAGACGGGGGGTGTGCCAGGCGGCGTGCTGATGCGACTTCGGGGAAAGCGGCCTTGCAGAACGTCGGCGTGGGCTTTGCGCGGGGGGCTCGTCGAGACGTTCGCTCTTGGACGTCGTTGGGCTTTCCGAACCGTAGCACTCCTACAGGGATCTGGGGGGTCTCTTGGATCCCCGATGGGAGGAAGCAGGAAGAGGAGGAGCAGGGTTAGGGAGGCAGGGGCACTTGGGGGAGGGAGGAAAGGCCACTCGGGGGAGCCCGCCGGCTGTCCTCCCAAGGGCCCAGTTGCCTTCGGCGTGGTTCGGACCTCGCTTCTACTTCTTCTTCTAGGAGGTTGAGGAGGAGGGAGGAGACGACGCGGGGGCGAGAGAGGAGGAGGAGGAGGAGGAGGAGGAGGAGGAGGAGGAGGAGGAGGAGGAGGAGGAAGAGGAGTTCGAGGAGGAGGAGCAGCAGGAAAACGACGAGGAGGAGGAGGAGCAGGAGGAGGAGGAAAAGGAAGGAGAAGAGAAGGAAACAGAGGAAGACGAGGACGACTTGCAGAGAG